CACCCAGCTACGACGAAGTGATGGCCGCCGATATGCACCTAGTGCCATCTGCGCCTCCGTCGACCCCTGCCCAGGATCAGATTCCCTCGGCTCCAGAAGAACGAACACCGCCTTCCGCTCCACCATTATAGGCCTACAGATAGTTAGCTAGGCCCGGATTTACAGTTATCTAGGCCTGGATTTACAGTTACCTTAGCCTGGATTTACAGTTAGCTAGGTCTGGATTTACAGTGTGCTGACCTGGATTTACTGTTGACTAGGCCCCTATTTACAGAGGTTCATAGCTCTAAATCTTGCATAAATCAGTTAGGGTGTTAGTAAGAGGGGTTGAGACAGGGGTGGGCCAGTCGGACAGTAGAAGAAGGTGGGGTTAAGTGTGCCGCGAGATCTTCCTAAGTGTGCTGCGGAGTTTTGTACGGCACACTAAGAAAATACGAAAAACAACATTATCCCAACTGAGTATTCGCAGGTGTCTACTGATAAGTTCATAGCTGTGTTTTTCTTTATTTAGTTTGAGCAATTTTATGTTTCTATGACTACTCTCTGTCTACGGTTGTATGCCGTCTGACTTGCCATGTTTTTATTTTGCAAAATTCAAATATTTTTCATATATATTTAGCCAGGGGTGCCGCAATATTTTCATGTGTTCCAAAGTGTGCCGTTGGCGAAAAAAAAAAGGTTGAGAACCACTGGTGTAGAAGTTAAGGTCATGGCTGAGAGATTGGGGTTATTGTGGAGTAAGTAAGGTAATAGATAGGGTTATAGCCGAGAGGGTGTTTTGTTGTGGAGAAGGTGAGGTTATAGCGGAGAAACGGGGTTATTGTGAAGAAGGAGGGGTAAAGAGAGTGGGTTATAGTGGAGAGGTCGGGGTCATAGCGCAGTGGGTGGGTTATAATCTTATTCTTATAGCGGAGAAAACGGGGTTATTGTGGAGAAAGTGGGGTTATATCGAAGAGAGTGGGTTATAATCTTATTCTTATAGCGGAGAAAACGGGGTTATTGTGGAGAGGGTCGGGGTTATAATGGCGTATCGTGTGTGGTTAGTAACATTATGGATGGTGTCTATTTTTACTTGTACATATTATATTCATGTATATAAAACTTGTCGGTCTTGGGTCCATAAACACAATTTATTTATCTGTGACAGAAATGTATGCCGAGATTATTTGTGTAAACCAATTGCGTATTTTTGTGTGTGATATTAATATAATGACTGTAAAACATGTGCATTGTATATTTGATATAAATGAACTTTGGACATTTGATAAACTATAGAAATTTGATATGAATGAACTTTTAAGCATTTAATATAAATAAACGAAATGAAATAAAATTGGGTTTAACGTCTTTGTACTACTGCTCTGACTGGGTTATGAGGGCAATTTGACCCGGACAGCGGCGCAACAGCCTACTCTCATGTCGAATTCCAACTGTCAGTGGATCTTTGACATGCACGCAGGGGAGCACAACAAAGGGTGGGGGTGGGGGTGGGGGGTATGAAGCTATAATACAGACTTGATATCAGCGTATAAATAGTAAACAAGCTAGATGTATTCTTCGGAAAAATGTTTACATCAAATGTCCTCGACCGGTTGTAGTGGAAGGTCGCGTCAGGGGTCATACGAGCCTATATACTGTAGAGGTTGCTTAAGTTTTCTGGGAGATGCTAAAAATCGGGTAATGACATCATAGTCTGGTCCATTTCCCGGGGGTCAGTCCATGACTCATGTACCTATCCTCTTGATAAGAATGAGCGCGATTAAGTTTCTTCAGATATCTTTCCTAGGGAACATCATACCCACAGCCTCCTGTGTAATACTTTTAGTAGAATTTTTGCTCGAGAAATAACATATTCGCATAATATGTGATATGTACTTAAAATACTTAAATCAACTTAGTCTGTAATTGACAGTTGACACATAAAAAAGAGTTATTTATCGAAAACATATGTCACTCATTTATCACCAGAATTACACGTGAGTGGAATTATTCTAATTGCATCATTTGATTTAAAGTAACCAATCATTTTGTTAATTACACAAGTTCAGGGCCATGAACACGCTTATTCCTGCGTGATAAACCTGGGTGCTATATAAGATATCTATTTGAACCTTTCAAGTTAGACTTGCATTAGATTCCAGAGATCGACGGTACATCTGAGTTCCTAGACAGCCGAGAGGCTGGATAGGGTGGAGAAGTGGTTTTAGCTATATAGTATTGTAATTTGTGCTATGCTTGTATACCTGTATTCAGTTATATGCTATATAAAATGTAGAAGCGAACTATGCATTATTATTCCTGGTAAGACAAACGTCTTAAGAAACTGGAAGAAGTAAATACACAACGTGAAGCAGAAGTAAAGACAGCTAGAAACAAATTCTAGACGATCACAAGGCTACAGAAATATGTAGTAAGAAAAGATGCATGGGTCGTATGTAGGATGTGGCGACCGGTTTGACAATGTACGCTTTCCACGTCAGACAAAAGACCCATGGTGCTACATATTGTTTAGAAGCTAAGGTTAAGACATCTTGTGGGCTTCTAGTGAGACATACCGTTAGCCACCTTGGCTTACAGGCTGGGCGAGAACATGTAGAACTTTTCAACTGTGTGGCTTTTGCCGCCTTTAGGACTCTCGTGTATTTTTAGACATCATTTAGTATTCTCAGAAGGACGTTCCCACAGCCTCCTCGGCTGAAAAGCTGGGAAATAGACATCATTTAGTAGTCTTGTTCGAGGCTGTGATAGAGACAATGTAGTGTTTCAAACGTTAGGTCTGAGTTCTAGGCATGTTAAACTCAGACTGTAGATATTATAATAATTCCTAATGTACTATCTTAGATGTTGTAGTTTCCTGTATTTCATATATACTCAGCCAAATTAAAAACTTGACACTGATGAATTTCAACAATTTTTTTTTTCTTGTAAGTCAAATAAATTTTAAAGTGTTTCTAACGATAGTAAGTAGTAAGAAGCCTTTAATTTCTTAAAATTGTAAAGTCACGTTGATCACGTGACTTTTGAGCATATAAAGATGAAAAACCTGAAAAACACGTGCAAACAAAAACTCGTGAGGTCAATCGATGCAAGTTTGCTTAAACTAAACACGCACACGTAACTTGAACTGGAAAAACAAATTAAAATGGTTATTTTCATCTTTGTTAGAAAATGCCGCGCCTTTCAAATGTAGAACGTCTACGTGCTATAGGTAGGCTCTATGCTGGTCAGTCTGTGGTCACTGTTGCAAGAGCATTTAATTGTTCACGCCAGACAATAATTAATCTTAGAATGAGAGTGCTTCAAACTGGAACTATTGCCGACCGCCCAAGGGCGGGAGCGCCACGTGTGACGTCACCCCAGGAAGATCAAGCAATACGATTACGTCATCTTAGAAACAGATTTGTCACTGCAACCTCCACAAATAGAGAGATGTTTGGTGGAAGGGTAACTACACAAACCGTTCGAAATTGCTTGCAGGCTGCTGGTCTTCGAGCTCGGAGGCCCTATAATGGACCAATATTGACACCACTTCATCGCCGTAACCGACTTGTGTGGGCTACAAGACACATAAGATTTACTCAAAGACAGTGGAATTCGGTTGTCTTTAGTGACGAATCTCGATTCACTTTGAGATTTGCCGATGGCAGGGTCCGAGTGTACCGCAGACGAGGTGAACGTTACGCTCAGAGAAGTTGACCGATTTGGTGGCGGCAGCGTCATGGTTTGGGGTTCTTTTTGTGCACATGGACGTTCTCCTCTTGTTGTTGTCCAAGGGAACTTAAATGCTGTCCAGTACAGGGATCAGATTTTGCAACCTGTTCTTCTTCCGTTTATGCAGAGACATGGGCCTGGACTAACGTTTCAACAAGACAATTCTCGACCCCATACAGCAATTGCTACCCAGAATTTTTAAAGAAATGCCGGTGTCCAAGTCCTGGATTGGCCGTCGCTTAGCCCCGACCATAATCCTATTGAACACATCTGGGACGAACTGGGCCGACGTGTTCGTCTGCAAGTGAATCCACCACTGACGTTGCAGGACCTTTAACATGCTCTTGCTGAGCAGTGGCGACGTCTTCCTCGGGTAGTGTTTACTAATGTTTTGAGATCCATGAGAAGATGTTGTGTGGCAGTAAGAGACGCTAGAGGAGGCCACAACCGTTACTAAACACTTTATTCCGACTGTTCTCCAAGTCTGTGAATTTCATTTTGGGGGGTACTGTGACATCACGAACGTTATCAATGTCAAGGACTTTCGGCGAGACGTATTCTTGCTTTCTGTTGATGTCAAGGTCGTCTGTGCACAACATAACACTAAAATAGTTACCTTAAACCAAATATTAAAAATCTAGTCCCAAAAATCCCGAGTGTCAAGTTTTTAATTTGGCTGAGTATATAAACATAGTTATAAAAACACAGTGTCCCTGAGTCAATTGATCCTTGAAGTTTTGTATGCAGCGTTAAAGTCCTATCGAGATGAAGGATATTGTCACTGGCCGTTTTCTGGAGACAGCGGACAGGATAGAGTCACATTACCGCTTTTCGGTGCCGTGACGAAGGATAGTCACATCTGTCCCCGTAGTGTCACATAGTGAGACAAGTAAAATGAAATTTTGAAAAAGGGTCTGTGTTTTAATCAGATTGAAAATGATATGAAATGAAATGGGGTTTAACGTCCTACTGTTCTGCTCGGAACTGAGCTAATGAAGACGGGCATACGCCATACAGTGTGCTATGAGGGCAATTTTACCCGGTCAGCGGCACTACGGCCTACTCTTATGTCGAATTCCAACTGTCAAGGGATTTTTTACGTGTACACGGGACCTCGGTTTTTGTTAGGCCCTCCGTCCTGCACCACTGACAAGGCAAACCACCCCGGGAAATCCAGATGAACTTTCTCGGCCAATGCAGGGATCGAACACCCGACCTCCAGGCTAGCGAGCCAGCGTCTTACAATCAGATTGGAAGTAGAATGCAACAAACTGGACAACAAAAACGGGTTATTTCATTTCTCGTCTTTTATTTACAATATATATATATATTATTTAGCAGACAAGATCTGACAATTATTACAGACTGATTCAGTCAGATAAGATTACAATCTGAATAAAATACAGATCTATAGTTCGTTTCGTTTTTTTATACTTTCGATGGCCTACATAACATGAAGATCTGACCGGTTGTAGCGCCATGTCGCGTTAGAGGTCATACAAGCTGCTTTTGACCCTATGACGTCAGACATTTGATTAATCAACCAATCAACATTGATGCTTATAGTGGATTGCCCACAGTTCCGTGCAAAACACGCCTAAAGCTCCCCGTAACAGACTGTTTCATTGGCTAATAGCTCACATTATTCAGAACACGTCAATGATAACAACTCTTCCAGATCCTAGTGTAGAAAAGACAAGTAAAATTAATTTTTTAACTTTAAAAACAAAACGAAATAGGATCTGTGTTTTAATCAGCCAGACAAGATCATGATCCAGTAATTCAGCCAAGATCAGTAATATAATGAAATACAAGAAATATGAAAACATGATTGAATAAAGCCTCAACAAGCTTACAACATGCTAGACAGTTTTTAAACATACATTATGTAACAGGTAAATCTACCTGTTGCAGGGGTTTTTTAGGCTTCAACAATTATTTAGACATTTATTCACCTGACAAGCCCCTGATCAACTCTCTAGACCATTAGAGTTGATACAGTACTTAGATTATATGTTGCATATGGTTTAAAATAAATAACATGAGTTATTTTGAAATGAAATTGTTATGTGGAGAAGTCCTTCGGTTAAACATACATTATGCAAGAGCTAAATTTGCCCATTGCAAGTCTTTGCTTAGGCTTCAGATGTTATATTAACTATTAATTAGACTTTTATTAACATGACAAGACCATAACCAACGCTTGATGCCATATGACGCTTCCGGTTTTCGTTAGAATTGAATCTGATCTACAGTTCAACAGCCATTGATGATTAAACTAAAAAATGGATAATAAAGACTTTTTTTTAAATTTTCGTCAGAACCACAACAGTGAGAGTAAAAGCTACAAGTTTATTAAAATGGTTATTTGTCGGCTTACACTGAGGTAATTTGGCTGAAATTTTCGGAATAATCCTGTTAAATTATTTGTTATTTACCTATTATAGCGAGAACTGTCAGCACTTCATCTAATCAAGGGTTGGATGGCCGAATGGTAAGTGCGCATTGCATCAAAGATCCATATGGAAGCTTGAAGTCGAAATTTCCCTCATTGCACACTGTATGGTGTAAGCTCGTCTTCATTAGGCCAGTTCGGAGCAGAACAGTAGGACGTTAAACCCCATTTCATTTCATTTCATTGAGGCAATTAGTGTAGTTTCGATTCCCCGGTTGTATGTGACAAGGAGTAGGGTCGCCTGTCCAACCTTGTGGGTTTTCTCCAGGTCCTCTGGTTTCCTCTGACTGCTAAAGACCTTTACCCGCAAGTGAATTATTGAATTAAATTAAACAATATGTTAGTCCCGAAATGACCTAGTTTGTGTTGAGTCGACTTAAATCTCTCTCTCTTTCTCTCTCTCTCTCTATCTGAATACTGAAAATTTCAGTCAAATTGCTCCACTTCAACCAAGATATTAGCGATTGAACTTTAGACCTAGCCTCGATCATCATTATTAAAGTTTGTACGATAAAAAACATAGTCTCGATTATCCATTTCATGATTTAATCATGAATGAAAGTTGAGCAGCAAATCGGATCCCAATTCAATGAATATCGCAGGATAGCAATGACATCGAGAGTTGATTATGGTCTGGATAAGATAATTAATGTCTAATTAATAATTTAGATAACATAAGGATGACAATGGTTTTGAAATGAAATTGTTATCCTGACAAGTCCTTCTGGTGGAGGTAAAAATAAAATAATGACAACAACTATATCTTAAAATGACAACAACACACCTGAGACACAGATCCAGGTGGGTTGGGTGGGGACCCACAAGCTAAATTTAGGGGGTTTTGGACCTGAAATAGTCGGAAATTGCATCTACAAATTTTCCCAAATGTTTCGGGGTAGCACAACCTCCTGTTGTGTGCTTTTCGCACTTGTGACGATAACCAATTGTCACTACAACACTTTAATATTTTTGACCCCCCTTCTCACCCTTCATCCCCAACTCTCATTTGAAAATCCTGAATTCACCCCTGAAACTATTTCTTATAAAGGTGATAATAACAAATACATATAAAATGATGATGGAATGATTTCGATAAAATGGAGGCAAAAAGCTTTGGTTCTAATATCACAAATTTTGTTACATTCAGCAATTTGCATTAAATTTGAAAACACAAAATGGTGAACACCTCTAGTTAACACAGACAGTTTTACACATATGATGAAATTAAAATGGTGAATTCATTCCTAGTTTGGTATCAAAATCTAATCTTGCTCTTTTCTGATGTCGTACTGCCAGCCTGGAATAGAAGAAAAAAACCAAAAACATTAGAATGATAAATTTTCCAAAAAAAAAATCCCTAAAAAGTCTTGAAGGTGAGATAAAATGTAAATAAATTGAAGCTAAATAATGATATCATGTAAATGAAATGGGGTTTAACGTCCTACTGTTCTGCTCCGACTGGGCTAATGAAGACGGGCAAACTCCATACAGTGTGCTATGAGAGAAATTTTGCCGAGCAGCAGCACTATGGCCTACCCTTAAATCAAATTCCAAGGGATCTTTTATGTGCATGCCAATGTATACATGAGACCTTGTTTTTTTGTCCCATCCAAACAACTAGACAAAACATGAGACATATCTTTAATTTAAACTATATATATCATTTTCATTGAACACGAATTGGCTTAATTATAATTATATTGCCAAAACAAACATTAAAATGCATTTGTCAGTTACCTTAAAAATTTATTCAACTCACTGTTATGAGAAATATCTTTGATCATAGTTTCTTATTGATGATAGTGAGAGAGAGAGAGATAGAGAGAGAGAGAGAGAGAGATGGGGTTTTACAGCCTCTGGACACAAACTAGGTCATTTTGGGACTAACATATGGTTTAATTTTTTATTTCAATAATTCGCTGGCACGTAGGGGTCTTTAGCAGTGGGAGGAAACCGGAGGACCCAGAAAAAACCCACAAGGTTGGACAGGCAACCCTACTCCTTGTCACGTACAACTGGGGATTCAAAACCACGCCAGTTGACTCAATGACAGGCCTATACAGCATGCATGTGCTAAACATTCGGCCATCCAACCCCCAGCCTCATTAGTAAGCCAGCATGTTGTGGCCAAACGGTTAAAGACATTAAATAAATGATCTTACTTGATTTCTCGTCTTTTAACAAGTTCATTGATGGTAATAATAACAAATACCCAGATAAATCCAACAACCCAAACGGCAGGATGAACGTCTGATAATGGTAGAGGATGTTTAACATTACGATTGTGTATCAATACATCAACACAACATACAACCACTTGTAATAATAACCTGAAATACATCAACACAACATACAACCACTTGTAATAATAACCTGAAATATATCAACACAACATACAACCACTTGTAATAATAACCTGAAATACATCAACACAACAAACAACCACTTGTAATAATAACCTGAAATACAACAATACAATATACAATCACTTGTAATAATAACCTGAAATACATCAACAACACAACATACAACCACTTGTAATAATAACCTGAAATACACCAACACAACAAACAACCACTTGTAATAATAACCTGAAATACAACAATATAATATACAATCACTTGTAATAATAACCTGAAATACATCAACACAATATACAACCACTTGTAATAATAACCTGAAATATATCAACACAACCACTTGTAATAATAACCTGAAATATATCAACACAACATACAATCACTTGTAATAATAACCTGAAATATATCAACACAACCACTTGTAATAATAACCTGAAATATATCAACACAACATACAATCTGAAAAATATATAACATTACAGTTTTACAATTTTCCACGCTAAGCATCATTAACAAAGGAGAGAGAGAAATGGGGTTTACTGTCCACTCAGCCCAAACTAGGCCATTTATTTCAGAACAGATACATGGTTTAATTTTATTTCAATAATTAGCTTGCGTGTAGGAGTCTTTAGCAGTAGAAGGAAATCAGAGGACCCAGAGAAAACCTGTGAGGTTGGACAGGTGACCCTACTCCTTGTCACGTACAACTGAGGAATCGAAACAACACCAGTTGACTCAATGACAGACTTTATGAACAATGCGGACGCGCTAACCATTCAGACATCCACACCCCCTTCAGTTAACAAAGTAAAACTAGGGATCTCCAGGTTACCGAGTCAGCACCATACACCAAGTCACAGTGGCTTGTCCTAATGTATCGATAAAAACAATCAACAAACGGTTGCCATGCAAGATGATGCGCCCACATTTTCCAATAGATGGACGGAGAACAGGGAAATTCAATGGGGCTTTGAGGAGAACCTTGTACTGTAATTTTGAGCTTAGACTACAGATTATTACTTGATTTAAATATATTTTACAACTTAGAACACCATCTCCAATATATACATTTACATAAACAAATAATAATAATCGAACATCGCCATCTCCAATATATATATAAATAATCATAATCCCAACACATTACATTTGTAATCACATCTTTTTTGCATATGAGTATGAAGAAAAGAAAAATAATAGTAAAGTGAGTGTGTAGAAACTATGTGAAATTTAATTTTTATTACTTACAGACTTGGAGTAATAACTAGCCATAATTTATTGGTAAATGGTGGTTTCTTCCACAGATGATCTGTCCAATGTACAAAAGACATTGAGATACAAGCTGAAAAAATATATAAAAATATGTCATTTTTAAAATTTTCATCCAACTCGTACACCAGGTGATATTAATAATAATTTTAATAATAAGACATTTATATAGCACCTAATCGTCCGAAGATGCTCTAGGCGCTTTACAATCAAAATTTCACATTGCTCAACATATGTCAAATCAAAATATATATTTAATTACTGATAAGCTTGGTTGTATAAATGAGTTTTTAAACTGGTTTTAAAAATATCTACAGTCTCGCTTGATATAATGGTTTCTGGTTGCACGTCATAATTTTGGCACAGATACAGAAAAGGCTCGATCTCTACGCAAAGTTGATCGTTTGGGAAATATTCCATGCCGTTTTTTTTTCTTGAGTTTCTTCCCTTGTTAGTTTGTTTTTCACTTTGGGTGACGTCTACTATCACTACAGCTACGTAGATAATTATGGTTAACCCCTGGAGCCATTCACTAGATTATATATATACATTTGTTGGTTGGAATGAAATGAAATGGGGTTTTACATCCTACTGTTCTGCTCCGACTGGGCTAATAAAGACGGAGCAATGGACACCAATACTTACCAAAATAAAGGACTTGTAGAAAGAACATGATATTTTGTGCCAGGACCAAACCGCCGGAGTATTTATCATACCAGGTTTTTATTGTATTATTACTGGCAAAACTGGAAGAGAACAAAATTATATAATTACACATGGTGAATCTGTTACATTGTTATCATTCAGGCCCCAAGTTCACAAAGCATTTTCACGATTAAGTTAAACATACATTATGCAAGAAGTAAATCTGCCTATTGCAGGTCTTTCTTTCAAGCCTTAAATGTATTATAAATTATTAATTAGATATTAATTAATTTATCCAGACCATAATCAACTCTCGATGGATCTGTTACATTGTTATCACCCAGGCCCTGAGTTTACAAAGCTTTCTCACGATTAAGTTAAGAATTTACTCAACTTTAAATCACTGTTTTAATGTATCAAATACATCAATAAGGGACTATATACAATGTTTTGTGTTTCTTGATCAAAGATATTTCTCATAAACAGTGATTGAAAGTTGAATAAATTCTTAACTTAAGTCTGAGAATGTTTTGTGATCTTACCTCTTAAAATTATAAACATTGAATGACATATCAAGTATATTTTCTGAGTAGGAGTTTAAAATCATGGTGAAACATAACAAACTGATGATCATTGATGGTACAAATCTCAAAGTAAATTGTAATAAAAACTGTAATACCATCTGAAAATATAAATAAAATACAAAACGTTTTTATATAAACAAAATACAAACGTGAAAGGAAGTGGGGTTTAATGTCCTACTGTTCTGCTCCGACTGGGCTAATGAAGATGGGCATACGCCATGCAGTGTGCTATGAGGAGAATTTTTGCCTGGGCAGTGGCCTACTCTTATTTCGAATTCCAACTGTCAAGGGATCTTTTACATGCATGCCAATGAGTACACGGGACCTCATTTTTTTTTGTCCCATCCGAACAGGTAGCCAGCTGTCCTTGTTAGGCCCTTCATCCTGTACCACTGACAAGGGAAACATGATGGAAATTGTTTAAAGTAAATATGATAATAAGTTGCAAGCCATTGTTTACAATAAAAATATAGGAACAAAATTGCCAAAACAGCCTGAAAATATTGAAAAATTAGTTTGCTTTTTTTGTCAACTTTTACTTTTCGTGTTATATCATTAAAAAGATTTTTTTAGCCTTTTTTAAAGTAGCTAAGTCTCTAACTCAATATCATCTTCGACATTAAAAACACGAATTATTTGTCAATTTAAATCAACATTAATGTTGTGATCTTACCGAGAAAAGATGGGCTTCTGATATCCAATAATTAAGACAAAATAAACATTTTACCATTTTAATGCATTTCAGCACCATTTGTAACAAGGGACTCGAAGAACAAGGCTAGACATATTCCACAAGTCATGTCAAACGGTGATGAATTTTCTTATCTGGAGAGCATGCCCAATAAATACTATCGGTGTAGACTGGAATAACCAGATACTAGAGATTGCCATTCGATTGAGACTTCTAGCATATTTCACTGAACATAAACTGATTATAAATTAGAGTAAAAACAGAAACGATTGAATGTAAATCAGTTTCTATACATTCATATTACATTATTATATGCATTGCAACCCATTTGTTTCAATTTCTAGGTCACAAATATTAGCGAATTAGCTCTTTTAATATTTTTTTTCATATCGTAATCAGTGGCTTGCGACTATCGTGGGTCCGTGTCAAAACCCCCTTCGGTCGAAACCCCCTGCGGTCAAAACAAACCACAAAAACATAATTTTGAAATGATTAATATTATATAATATAAAAATGGGGGGATTTTGACCAGAGTGGGTTCTGACCTAGGGGGGTTCTGATCTAGGTCAAAGACTTAAAACCCTCTAGGGGTTTCTGACCGGAATGGGTTTTGACCGTTTCCCGACTATCATGGGTAATAAATATTAAAATATACGTACATTTAAATTAATATGATTGATATTTTTCCTGGTAGCTAGGTTCATTATCCTGGGGTCAACAGGGTTACCCATCATAGTAAAACCTAATAACGGGGTTACGACCAGTAACAACCACATGAGATGTCGAGCTGATAATATTGGTGGTAATAAAAATATACTAGCGACTACCTGACATAATGTTAACGATAAATGATAACATAACATCAGATAAAAACAATTCCTCATACCAAATATATGATGACGTGCCTGAAATATATATTCAATGCAAACATCAAATCCCTTTCAAAATCGGACTATTTTTAGAAATGAAATGAAATGAAATGGGGTTTAACGTCCTACTGTTCTGCTCCGAAATTGGGCTAATGAAGACGGGTATACGCCATACAGTGTGCTATGAGGGAAATTTTTGCCCGGACAGCGGCACTCAACCTACTCTTATATCAAATTCCAACTGTAAAGGGATCTTTTACGTGCACGCCAATGTGTACACGGGACCTTGGTTTATCGTCCCATCTGAACGACTAGACAACTCTCCTTGTCAGGCCCTCCGTCCTGCATCAATATCAAGGGACTATTTTAAGAAGCCCTGTACGTCACATGATTTTATTGAGAGGAGGGTCCATCTTTAGCCTGTACATTTTTATCCTCTTCCAACTATTTATCCAGACACTTTAAACACAAGATCTACAGTAGGTTTAAGTATGTCACTATGTTAACAATTGCTAGCCATTTGATCAATAAAACCAGGCGCTCACTACATTATTCAAGCAGACACGTACAGGTGCCAGTCCTCATGGGTTTTTTTCCCAGGGAATCCAGTATTTTTCAGGCAAGATCGAGTTTCTCTACTCCATACTTGTATTGAGAGAGAGAGAGAGAGAGAGAGAGAGAGAGAGAGAGAGAGAGAGAGACCTTAATGTTCACTCAGCCCAAACTAGGCCATTTCAGGACTAACACATGGTTCAAATTTATTTCAATAATTTGCTTGCGTGAAGGGGTTTTTAGCAGTGGGAGGCAACCGGAGGACCCGGAAAAAACCCACAAGGTTGGACAGGCGACCCTAATCCTTGTCATGTACAAAGAGGGAAATCGAAACCACGCCAGTTGACTCAATGACAGACCTCATGATACAGCGCGTACATGCTAACAAATCGGCCATCCAACCCCCCTTTATTGAAAATAACTACCCTACAAATACAATGTGTACATTTGCCATACTTTTATTGGAAATCCATACTTTTATTGGAAATAACTATCCTATAAATACATGAGACCTTAGTTTTTCATCCCATCCGAATGACTAGACAAACTATGGTTAAATTAATATTGCGATTATATATCTTACCTCGGCTATAAGATGTATCAAACTAAAATTTTCATTACTTTTAAACGCCAGAGGACATGGTATGGTGATTAAAGCACATGCTACTTGTGTTGGTGTTGGTTCGTCATCAGACCACAGATCACATGGTATAGGTTGCTGTGTACACGATGTCGGATGTATTGGTTCCACAGCTAAACTATAAAACATAAAACAGGTATCATTTAATCTTGTGTATTTAGCATTAATTTCTTTCACCTTCATTTAATATCAAATCTTTGTTTAAAAATTCCTAAAAATCATTTAAAATCACCCAAAATCTTCTAATTTGTACTTGTGTCCAGTTTAAAGCTGACTGATTAATTTTGATAATGTGAAGACAAGTAAAACGTAATTTTGAACTATAAAAAACGAAATGAAATAGGATCTTTGTATAATATTACCAGCAATCAGCCTGTAGAAATAATGGTGTATTGTGCATATTGAGAGCACTACCAACACATAACACAATTTCTCCGTTCTCCTGCATAATCTTCACCATTTCTTTAGTTGCTACAAACATCAAATACACAAACCTGTTTACATTTTCTCTAAAATATCAAATTTCTCAAAGGTTAATCCTTATTTAAACATACATTATTCAAGAGCTAAATCTGCCTATTGCAGGTCTTTCTTTAGGCCTTAAATGTTATATAAACTATTAATTAGACATTTATTAACATGAAAATACCTTAATCAACTCTCGATGTCATTGGATTTCTCCGATATAAAATAGATTAGAACAGTTCAGCCATATTTTGATTTAAGCTAAAAATAGAGGAGTGAGACTTAGCTTCGAACAACCAATACGGTGGCTGAAATTATTGCACACGTTTTGTCAAACCTTCCAAGGATAATATCTTTGCTCGCAATAGAGTAATTTGAATGAAATTTTCAAATTATTCATTTTACATTATCTATTTTCGAACTATTATAGCAAGAATGGCTAGTTCTTTATCTAAATCTTACATAATGTATCTTTAATATAGTGTGGTCATTTAACAGCTAGGATATAATTTATAATTAAGTACAATACTTACTTTCTACTGTACAATCAGTAAATAAATTAACTAATAAAGGAACATTATCTATATTCTTTAAATGTGGTCGAATATTCTCGATACCTCTTGGTAATTTCGCCTGAAAAAAAAATTTAAACATACTTTTCTCAAATCAAATTGGACACAGCTCATTAAATATTCCTACGCCATCACCAACAAATGAAGTGCCAAAGTTATTTTTAGTCTTTCTCTCCCTTCCCCTTTTTCCCCCTTTTGCATGGCGATTTTGTTGACTTTTTGGTGTAGAATCGAAGAAAAGGGTTTGAAAATACATTTTCTTCTAGGTTTTGGTGAATATTCATGATTTTGAAGCGAAAGGATACAAGAGTTGAGAGCTTGGTCAGGTTGAAATGCAGGGCAGAAAATTGCATGTTTTGGTCTTTAATTCCAGTTTGTGTATCTCAAGTTTTCCATGGAGAACCTCGTTACCTACTTTTTGAGTAAGAAGTTGCCACACGTTGCTCCATCTGTGGTAGAAAGCGTTCTACCCAACGAAAATTTTGGGAAAAGTTAGAGCCGGTCTAAGAGACAAGAATTAATATTAAAGTCAATGGGGAAATCATTAGTGATCTGTGACCTAATTAATTTTAGTAACAGAACAGAGTTACCTCCCATTCATCAACTGCAATGGAGGCTATTAATATTTATCAGTACTATTTAAGTAATTCATGAGGGAGGGGGGAGAGAGAGAGAGAGAGAGAGAGAGAGAGAGAGAGAGAGAGAGAGAGAGAGAGAGAGAGAGAGAAATGGGGTTTAAGTCCACTTGGCACAAACTAGGTCATTTCAGGACTAACATATGGTTCATGAGGGAGAGAGTTAGTTGGTTCAATTTTATGTCAATAATTCGCTCGCGCATAAGGGTCTTTAGCAGTGGTAAGAAATCGGAGGACCTACTCCTCTTGTCACATATAACCGAGAAATCAAAACCACGCCAGTTGACTCAATGACAGACCTTATGATTCAACGCGCAGGCACTAACCACTTGGCCATCCAACACCTCTACTGTCACAGAGTTTATAATGAACCTTCTAATACATTGTAATGAGTGTTGGGCTTACAACTGAAGAGACCCGGGGAAGAGAGAGAGAGAGAGAGAAATGGGGTTTAACGTCCACTCGACACAAACTAGGTTATTTCGGGACTAACATATGGTTTAATTTTATTTACATAATTCGCTTGCGCGTAGGGGTCTTTAGCAGTGGGAGGAAACCGGAGGACCCGGAAAAAACCCACGAGGTTGGACAGGCGACCCTACTCCTTGCAACGTACAACTGGGGATGCGAAACCACGCCAGTCGACTCAATGACAGACTTTATGATACAGCGCGCGCACGCTAACCATTCAGACATCCGACCCCCCTCCCCGGGGAAGAAATGAAATGAAATGAAATGGGGTTTAACATCCTACTGCCCCGGGGAAGAACGATCTTAGTCACTTTTTCAACGAACCCCAGTTAATAGCACCATCTGGTAGCAAATTGCATAAGCTTTCTGTGGAACAATCAATTTCAGGTAAAAATGATCAGAGTCACATTGAACCAAGGGCCTTCTGAAATGGCCTCCCGGACAAATACGTCCATCATACCCTTTATTTGACCTTAATTTGGCTGAAAAGTGGAAGTCAGTTGTTTTACTGGTAATTACGATTCATATTTAACATCATTTTGAAGTTGTAATTAAATCCACATCGTTGTTCTGTTCACGTCAAGCATTCTCGTCCAAAAGTCTGTTTTGCCTTTTATGCGAAAAGACAAAAATGTGGCTTGGATCATTCTTCCCCTGGATTCTTCAACTGTTCAGTAATTTATTAGTCTATTAAACTTACACTATTATCTAGGGCACCTGTTCAACTATCTATTAATCTTACCCTATTATCTAGGGCACCTGTTAAACTGACTATTAAACTTACCCTATTATCTAGGGCACCTGTTAAACTGACTATTAAACTTACCCTATTATCTAGGGCACCTGTTAAACTTACCCTATTATCCAGAGCACCTGTTAAACTATCCTCCGTATTTTCTGTAACATAACTCGAGGTATATCTAGAGTCCGATTGATATTCGTTTCCATCTTCTTCATCACTCGACTGCCAATCTTCACGATCATATAATAAAACATCTTTTTCATGTGATTCCGAAGCTATTGTTCCTGATGGTGATTTACTCACGATATCAGATGGTTGATCGAGAAATTTAACCTGAGACGAGTCAATATTAATCAAACTAGGAGCACTGTAACTTCGAGCGTTAGGAAAGAGATTTAAATCTTGTGCGTTGGGCGATTTGGTATCGCTGGTTCTCATGTGACTACCATCTACGGAATGTTGACTAGTGCGACGTGATGGTTTTTGTGGTGTATCGGTATGGTAATCCGAACCTGATGTATTGCTGTCTAGTTTCTCGCTAGAATTAGACAGAAGGGAAATATGACAGTTCCAACCAGCTTCTAATCCCATCTTCTCTGAAAACACCTGAAAATAATTACAGCGGGATATAAGCATACATTAAAGGAGCTAAATCGCTAATATTTGGCACCTAGAAATTGACACAAATGGGTCACAACGCATATAATAATGTAATATAAATGTATATAAACTGATTTACATTCAATCATTTCCATTTTTACTCTAATTTCAGGTCAGTTATGTTCGGCGAAATACGCCAGAAGTCTCAGTGTAGTGTCTGGTTGTTGCAGTCTGCACCGATAGTATTTATTGTGCATGCTCTCCAGATAAGTATATGACTTCACCGTTCAAATCACTTGTGGAATATATGTCTAGCTTCGTTCTTCGTGTCCCTTGTTACAAATGGCGATGAAACGTATTATGGTACACGATTCGTGTACCAATGGTAAAATGTTTATTTTGTCTTAAATATTGGATATCTTAAGCCCATCTTTTCTCGGTAATATCAAAACATCGATATCGATTTAAATTGACTAATAATTTGTGTTTTTAATGTGGAAGACTTTGGATGATATTGATTTAGAGACTTAGCTACTTTAACCCTAGAACTTGGTACATGTAAATACAGACTACCCCAGTTCCTTGAAGAAAATTAGAGATATATTAATATCGGTTCATCCCTGTCCAAAACGGCCGTTCCTCAGACTATCTCCAGAGATAGTGATTTGATATTCGATCATTTACTAGTTTGTGCGGGACAAGATGGTTTGGGGGGCGGTCTAGTTAAGGTGGCTTCGGCAAGCCTGGAAATAAGGCACCTGTCACAGATTCAGGCTTTGTCAGGCACAAAACTTCTGGTGCCTGCCATTTTGTCCAGCATTGGTTTGTGTTTATTATTGATATTATTAATACATGTCCGGCACTAAGTTGAAAATGTCAGGTAACAGTTCATTAGTGCCTGAAATTTTGTCAGGTATATCTAAAACCGTTATTTCCAGGCCTGTGTTTCGGGCTAATTAGTGCTAATATACACAACTCAGTAAATTAGTTTCTAAATCCATTTGCCTCAAAGATCTAATTTAATGGACTTAAACGCAAGAAATGCATCTTAATTTTGTTGACTGCCTGTTAAAACACATGTATCATGAACATTAAACAATATGGTTTCTTTTTTTTTACACAAAATTTAGTTTTTAATTTTCATGCTTTTTAAAATAAAAATACATCTACATGCACTGTTTTGTAATGTCTTTGCCCGTGTCAGGTACCTGAATTTGGAATTCTACTGTTTTGATATTGTATGTCCTTAAACCTAAACCTGGCACAATGTCAACTATAGTAATAAAGAAATCACTGACAGAAATAGATAGCACAGTGACAGTTTGATAGCTCAGTGACAGAGTTAGATAGCTCAGTGACAAGAGTTAGATAGCTCAGTGATGGAGTCAGATAGTTCAGTGACAGAGTTAGAAATATTTTTAACAAAAATATTTTCTTTCAGATTAATTACTTACCCGGCTTCTCAATTCATTCTCTTTAGAAAAGTGAACAAATCTGATACAAGCTGATTCCAACTTATCAATCAACTGAACAAAATCCTGAAAACAAATTTAAACATGTTGTATTATATATGAGCAAATGGTATACATGAAGGGAGGCTATTCCGCTTATGAGAAAATGGTATACCATTTAGATAAAGCGAGGCCCGAGTCTATTCCACTTATAAGAAACCTCCCAATCCCCCACCCTCACTCCACTTATAAGACACCTCCCAATCACACACCCTCTCTCCACTTATAAGACACCTCCCAATCACACACCCTCACTCCACTTACAAGATCTCTCCCAATCCCCCACTCTCACTCCACCTATAACACCCCTCCCAATCCCCCACACTCACTCCTAAGACACCTTCCAATCACACACCCTCACTCCACTTATAAGACCCCTCCCAATCACCCACCCTCACTCCACCTATAACACCCCTCCCAATCCACCACACCCACTCCACCTATAACACCCCTCCCAATCCCCCACACTCACTCCACTTATAAGACACCTCCCAATCACCCACCCTCACTCCACCTATAACACCCCTCCCAATCCCCCACCCTCACTCCACCTATAACACCCCTCCCAATCCCCCACACTCACTCCACTTATAAGACACCTTCCAATCCCCCACCCTCACTCCACTTACAAGACCCCTCCCAATCACCCACTCTCACTCCACCTATAACACCCCTCCCAATCCCCCACTCTCACTCCACCTATAACACCCCTCCCAATCCCCCACCCTCACTCCACTTACAAGACCCCTCCCAATCCCCCACCCTCAATCCACCTATAACACCCCTCCCAATCCCCCACCCTCCCTCCACTTATAACACCCCTCCCAATCCTCCACCCTCACTCCACCTATAACACCCCTCCCAATCCCCCACTCTCACTCCACCAATAACACCCCTCCCAATCCCCCACCCTCACTCCACCTATAAGACCCCTCCCAATCACCCACCCTCACTCCACTTATAACACCCCTCCCAATCACCCACCCTCACTCCACCTATAACACCCCTCCCAATCACCTACCCTCACTCCACTTATAACACCCTCCCAATCCCCCACTCTCACTCCACCTATAACACCCCTCCCAATCAGCCACCCTCACTCCACCTATAACACCCCTCCCAATCCCCCACCCTCACTCCACCTATAACACCCCTCCCAATCCCCCATTCTCACTCCACCTATAACACCCCTCCCAATCCCCCACCCTCACGACTAGAGAAAGCGTAAAGTGTGTTTTAAACACAATGGATCAAAATCGAGTATAATGATGTATAAGACCACACCTTGACAACAAGGTTCTAGACTTCAGTTTGCCAAGCCTATAGGTAAATAGGGCACTGTGTTAATTTATTACATCTCAAACTCATTAAGGGTCTTCATACCTCTGACAGTCATTATAGGAATCTGTTGAAAATCAACAGCCTTCTTACTTAATTATGAATTTTAAATCCAATAAAATGATAACTTTAGTCTATATGTGGATAACATAGAGAGACAGAAATGGGGTTTAACATTCACTTGACACAAACTAGGTCATTTTGGGATAAACATATGGTTCAATTTTATTTCAATAATTTGCTTGCGTGTAGAGGTCTTTAGCAGTGGGAGGAAACTGGAGGTCCCAGAGAAATCCCACGAGGTTGGACAGGCGACCCTACTTCTTGTCACGTACAACCGGGGAATAGAAACCACGCCAGTTGACTCAATGACAGACATTATGATACACTAACCATCCAACCCCAGTAGTTGTTTTTTATATTTTAGAGGAGAGCCGAAAAAACTCTCCCTCAATCAACGAATTGAAAAAATCGCTCCCCTAAAAAGCTCTTCCAGTTTTGATAAGGAGAGTGATTTAGAAATTAAGGAGAATGATCTGATATTAAGGAGAGTGTTTAGTTATGTGCATGGAAAATGGTTCTAAGATCAATAACTGCATGTTAGGGGGTCATTCCTGGTTTGATAAATGATAATAAACCCCCAATGACTATGTAAAGGAGAACGATTTTAAATTTTAAAGGAAGGGAGAAAAAAAACTCGCCTCAATCGACATTCAGGTGAGCGTCAGGCGCTCGGAAGCGATCGCTCACCTTTAAAAACAATGACTGCAACCCCCATTTATGTATACGAGTAAAGGGTATTACCTGTCTAGCCTGATACTGTAGGTATACCTGTAATGTGTATTACCTGTCTAACCTGATACTGTGTATATACGAGTAATGAGTATTACCTGTCTAGCCTGATACTGTAATGTAATCATACCTGTCTAACCTGATACTGTTTATATACGAGTAATGAGTATTACCTGTCTAGCCTGATACTGTAGGTATACCTGTAACGAGTATTACCTGTCTAACCTGATACTGTAGGTATACATGTAACGAGTATTACCTGTCTAGCCTGATACTGTAGTGTAATCATACCTGTCTAACCTGATACTGTGTATATACCTGTAACGAGTATTACCTGTCTAGCCTGATACTGTAGTGTAATCATACCAATAAAGATTTGATTCTGTTGGGTGTCGTAACAATCAGTAGCTGTATTAACTGATATAATACTCTCACTTTCCATCAACGAATCAACACTAAATGATCTATTACCACTAAATACACAATCTGTTTCAGTACCGGAATCACACTCAGATATACTGTATGAAATAAACAAATAACAAGTTTACTGTACAGAGAGAGAGAGAGAGAGAGAGAGAGAGAGAGAGAGAGAGGGAGAGAGAGGGAGGGGAGAGGGAGAGAGAAAGGGGAGAAGGGGAGAGAGAGAGAAATGGGGTTTAACACCCACTCGACACAAACTAGGTCATATCGGGACTAACATATGGTTTAATGTTATTCTATTAATTCGCATGCTAGTAGGGGTCTTAAACAGTGGGAGGAAACCAGAGGAGCCGGAGAAAACCCACAAGGTTGGACAGGTGACCCTATTCCTTGTCACGTACAAGCGGGGATTCGAAACCACGCCAGTTGACTCAATGACAGGCCTCATGATCAAACGCACACACGTTAAACCATATGATACAGCTCGAACGTATTAACCATTCGTCCACCGAACCCCACCTCTTCTGTACAGGTCCAGGGAGACGGGGTGGTGGTGCAACGGTACTCATGAAGCCCAGGAGGCCCATATATATTAAATGTTTCTTTTGGGCTGGTATTCGTGTCACAGAGCCCACGATCTGATCAGAAATAAACAAAACTCAGGGCCGCTGAGAGAATTTGTATGTGCCAGAGCAAGACAAATAATGCCACCCTCCTCCTTTCCCTGCCCCTCCCACACCTGGGCAGAGACTAAGCAAAACATAAGAGTTTCTAAATGTACCCAACTGTCAAGGGTGCTTTGCGTGTATGCCTATGTGTACACAGAACCCTGATGAATTTTCTCGGCCAACATCGGAAGCGAACATGGGACCTCCAGGTTAGCACGCCAATGTCTTACTCACTTACTCACCTGGGGCCTGATTCACGAAATTTTAACTAAAGATAAAATCCAAATTTTAGTAGATACTTCAATTTTGATTGGCGAAGCTCTAAAATCAATCTAATATTATCCAATCAAATTCCTTAAATTTGGATTTTATCTTAATTAAAATTTCTTGAAACAGGGCCCTTTTTCTAAGAATATATAATAAAAACTTAAATAAATACCCTGTTGATCGGAATTTTAAAGATGTATTTGCTTTCATGGAAGTTTCTGGTAATTCTAAATATAATTCTTCTAAATGACAGGCTATTTTCTGAGATATCGGTCGATAGGCAAACGCCGTACAATAAGCACCTTGAGTATTACGATGATAGAAGTCTAATATCTTCTTCCTAATATTACAATAATTAAATAATAAACGGGTTTAACATCCAATCTGATTCAAACACGGATTCTATTTCGTTTCGTTTTTTTTATAGTTCAAAATTTTGTTTTACTTGTCTTGACTACACTAGGATCTGGAAGAGTTGTTATCATTGACATGTTCTGGATGATGTGAAGGATTAGCCAATGAAACGGTCTGTTATGGCAAGCTTTTGCCGTGTGGTTCACGGAACGGTGGGCAACACACTAGAAACATCAATGCTGATTGGTTAATCAAATGTCTGACTTCATAGGGTCAAAAGACGCTTGTATGACCCCTGACACGACTTATCACTACAACTGGTCAGATCTTCAAGTAGTGCAGACCATCGAAAGTATGAAAGAATGAAACGAAATATAGATGTGTATTTTAATCAGATTGGTTTAACATCCTACTTTCTTAATACCATATATTTTTAGAGAGAGAAATGGGTGTTTAACGTCCTACTTTTCTACTCCAACTGGGCTAATGAAGACAGGGGTACGCCATACAATGTGCCCTGAGGGAAATTTTGCTTGAACAGCAGCACTAAAGCCCACTCTTATATCGAATTCCAATTGTCAAGGGATCTTTTACGTGCATACCAACATTTACACAGGACCTAAGTTTACCATCCCATTTGAAGGACTAGACAGTGTCCATGCCTGGCCCTCGCTTCTGCACGAACACTTTTGATAGAACTTTACTATGGAATATGAAATATATTTTACCTGTCATTTTCTGTAACTGGACATAAATCTCGACCATTCCAATATTCTGAACAACAATCTAACAATATATCAGCTGTTCCTTGTGTCATCAATTGACTCAAACCTACAACAAAATAAATTGCTTTATGTTCAACCAGACAAAAATAAATACTTGACACAAACTAGGTCCTTTTCTGGACTAACATATGGTTCAATTTTATTTCAATAATTCGCTTGCACATAGGGGTCTTTAGCAGTGGAAGGAAACCCGAGGACCCTGAGAAAGACCACGAGGTTGGACAGGCAACCCTACTCCTTGTCAAGTACAATCGGGGAATCGAAACCACGCCAGTTTACTCAATACCATCTGATTAAAACACAGTTCCTTTTTCGTTTTGTTTTTATAGTTCAAAATTTTGTTTTACTTGTCTTTACTACATAGGGTCTGGAAGAGTTGTTATCATTGACGTATTCTGGATGATGTGAGGGATTAGCCAATGAAACTGTCTGTTTTGCACGGAACTGTGGGTAAAACTCATGTAGTGTAAGCCATTGGAAGTATAAAAAAACAAAACGAAATATAGATTGATCTAAATGTTGATATGATATTATAAATAAGTTAATATATCTATGTTAATTTGATATTATAAATAGGTTATTATATTTCTACCTGATATTCTATCTTTAACAACAACAGAGACAAGATGTGGCATGGGTATCTGATGCTGGATATGGGATGCTGCTCGATGTTGCTTCTCTTTAGCTGTTTCTTCTGCTGGCTGGAGTTTGAAAATAAAACAATGAAGCAATGAAATAATCTCAGTGTCTGGACAAAAGGGCCTTGGCTATTCCACTTATTAGGCCCTTTCCTGGGTAACTCCTCTTAAGAGAGAGAGAGAGAGAGAGAGAGAGAGAGAGAGAGAGAGAGAGAGAGATGGGGTTTAACGTCCACTCAACACAAACTAGGTCATTTTGGGACTAACATGTGGTCTAATTTTATTTCAATAATTCGCTTGCACTAGGGGTCTTTAGCAGTGGGAGGAAACCAGAGAACCTGGAGTAAACCCACGAGATTGGACAGGCGACCCTACTCTATGTCACTTACAACTGGGGAATCAAAACCATGCCAGTTGACTCAATGAAATTCTGTATGATACAGCTCTCACGTGCTAACCATTCGGCTATCCAACCCCACCCCACTTCTGAGGCCCTTCCCAATCTCCCACCCTCATGACTAGAAGAAGATGAAAGTGTGTTTTAAATTAGTGCTGGCACAATATATTGTTGAATCGATGTGTCGCAAATCACATGCTCACGATTCACATATCGAATCACGAGACGCTGAATCTATTCTTTATGATTTTTTTGTCACTTCAGTGAGTATTATCCAGATTAATTAAAGGACGGTCGTAAAATGTCAACAAGAATAACCTTGTGTAAATGACATGAAATGAGGTTTAACGTCCTACTGTTCTGCTCCTATAATGGGCTAATGAAGACGGGCATATGCCATACTGTTTGCTATGAGGGAAATTTTGCCCGGACTGCGGCACTATGGGCTACTCTTATATTGAATTCCAACTGGCAATGGATCTTTTACGTGCACGTCAATGTATACACGGGACCTCGGTTTTTCGTATCATCCGAAGGACTAGACAGCTGTCCTTGTCATGCCCTCCATGATCCTGTCCGATGTATAGATCTCGACCCACTCACCCATCTACCCATACATGTAAGAAAATGTTGACATATATCCGTTAATGATTTATCATTTAAATCATCATTTTCTATCCAGTGTCTCTTAACCCACCCAGTTCCTCTGGTTATTTTTTTGGACGTAATTGTTGAAATTCTGTGATGATCCCTAAACATAATTATTTTAATAAATAACTTACAACTTGTCTGTACATTCCTAGAACTTTATCATGAATAAATCCCTCAACAACATTTGATGTAAAACCCATTTCTCTTGCTAAATAACACAGGCATCTACAATAAAAACAAGAGAAATGAAATGGGGTTTAATGTCCTACTGTTCTGGTCCTACTGGGATAATGAAGACAGGCATACAGCATAATGTGCTATGAGGGATATTTTGCCCGGACAGCGGCACTACGGCCTACTCTTATACTGAATTCCGATCCTTTTCGTTCACACCATTGTGTCTACAGGATCAAAGTTTTTCGTCCCATCCAAACCATTATATGTTATCCCTTGCCAGGCCCTTTGTCCTGCAACACTTGCAAGGTGGAAAATCCTGATGAGCTTTCTTGGTCAATGCAGATATCGAACACGCAACCTCGAGGTCAGCAAGGGGTGGGCGGGGGTGGGAAGAGGCAACACTCCTTTAAAAGAGTAACAGAGGCTGGACAGGACGGTAGATCTGTGTGGCTGCTGGATCAAATGATAATGCTGGCGGAGAGAGTAAACATTTGATAAAGGGTCTTTTAACCCAAAACATTATGTACATGAATAAACCACCTCTCCTTTCTACTTAAGTCTGTTGAGCAGGGATTTTTAAATATCTATTTTATCTCAGTTACATTGGAAATGGTCTATTTTAGCCCCTGAAGCCTCTACCATTACAGGCCCGGGACTGTACAGCACAGTGGATGCTTACGGCTAGCCCCATTCACTTGATTTGATATTTGTTTGTTTCTTGCAATGTCCATGTATTCTGTCTTGTCTTGTAGATTTTATTTTGTGTGTAGTGCGATCCTCCTGCACTTACTATTAAATTTAAAATCCCAGAAGTCTGTATTATCGTTATGATCGATACCAATAACATTTTACCTTCTGTTGATAACAGCCACCGTTTCTTTCTTCTTGAGAGCTGAACAAGCCACATGTCCGCTGAATTTAGCATACCAATCAACTGTATTAACATTACATAGGTTTAATAATATATTCAAACCCTGAAATATATACAACACTAATCAACATACAACATAATATAACATCAAGACAGGCAACATAATACATTTAAATAATACAACATCCTTCTTTTTTTCAAAGACTGGGCTAATGAGAGAGAGAACAAGAGAGAGAATGAGAGAGAGAGAGAGAGAGAGAGAGAGAAGATGAGAGAAGAGATAGAGAGAACAAGAGAGAGAATGAGAGAGAGAGAGAGAGAGAGAGAGAGAGAGAGAGAGAGAGAGAGAGAGAGAGAGCGGGGGGGGGGGGGGTATAACCTACAGTGCAGAAATCAGGTCATTTCGGGATTAATATATGGTTCAATTTTATTTCAATTCGCTTGCAAGTAGGGGTCATTTCAGGACTAATATATGGTTCAATTTCATTTTAAGGGGAGGAAACCGGAGAACCCAGAGAAAACCCACAAGGTTGGACAGGCGACCCTACTCCTTGTCACGTACAACCGGGGATTCAAAACCAAGCCAGTTGATTCAATGACAGAGCTTATGATACAGCCCGCACATGCTAACCATTCGGCCTTCCAACCCCCCTTGTATGTTGAATAACACATTGAAACTTGTCTTTAGAATAACAAGTACTTGGTTAGTAATTGAAAAGTAACAAACTGAAATTATATATGGAATAACAATTATTAGTTTAGTAAATAAAGAGTAACAATTACTTGATTGTAACAATTAATGGGAGAGAGCGTAACCGTAACATCTATTCAACACAACCTACTGTATGTCATTTCGAGACTAACATATGGTTTAATTACTTGCTTAGTAATTGAGAGAGAGTGTAACATCTATTCAACACAACCTACTGTATGTCATTTCGGGACTAACATATGGTTTAATTTATTTAAATGATTTATCCAAAGGCCATAACTTTGGTTATCCAATTCAAATTTTGTGATCAATTTATAGACAATTTTGTGAATCCTTTAAAGATGCAATCCCACGAAATATTTCCAATAAAAAGATATTTCCGAAAATGTATGGCATATTTGGTATATATGGAAATTAGAAACACCCAATCTTAATAAAAAGATACTAGATTCCTTAAAAAACAACCATGGGGCAAGCATTGGGCAAAAATGTTAGGGTATCACTAACTGGCAAACCGACGGCTTATTATCTGTCAGCTTGACTTATAGAGAGCGTGTGTTATTTCTTGATCAAATGGGAATAGTGAGGGGTTTAAATGTATAATAGACTCTGCGATTAAAAAGCAGAAAAACAGGTTGGCAGAAGATAATCTAAGAATTTAATTAGGCTTCGATATGTATGGTAAATGAACAACAAGCAGCGATTGTCTGCGATATCACCTTGGTGGAAGTAGACGTTTAATAAAGCTATTTCACACACAAGTAACAACAAATACAATCTGTAAATAGGCCCTCAATCAATCAAGTTACATGACAAATAGGACTGCTGAAAATACATTTCTACCATTTGAATATGTTTTTAGTCCAAATCACACACTTTGTACGTGGGAGGGGGAGAGAGAGAGAGAATTATTTCAATAATTCGCTTGCGCGTAGGGGTCTTTAGCAGTGGGAGGAAACCGGAGGACCCGGAGTTAACCCACAAGGTTGGATACGTGGGAGGGCATCTTTAAATCACACAGTTTGTACGTGGGAGGGCATCTTTAAATACATCATCAAATATATCACCAAATCACACAGTTTGTATGTGGGAGGGCATCTTTAAATACATCATCAAATATATCACCAAATCACACAGTTTGTATGTGGGAGGGCATCTTTAAATACATCATCAAATATATCACCAAATCACACAGTTTGTATGTGGGAGGGCATCTTTAAATCATTGCATTTTTTTTCATTTCTTTGTTTAATTTTTCAAACATGATTTCATTTAATTAACATCATCAAATATTGATAGGAAACCAAAAACTGATTAATTTTTCTATCAATAGAAGATTTGTTTAAGCACTATAGAGTATTTATATTGTTTCACTGAGCTGGAGAATATAATCAATTAATAATAGGTCACAATGGATGAGTCTACTACTATTGTTAGTTAATGGACTAGTCTATGAATGAATGAAGTAAGGCAATATAACCGATATCCTGAAGCCTACATAACGATGGTGGTACTCAGGGGATTCCAATACATTCAATGACATATATATACGCCAGACACAATTTGACCTAACTTATATATACACGTAACCCCGGAAACAACTTGATGAACTCTCCCACTATAGATACATTTATTTATAAATATAAAATTACAATCTCTCCATCACATACTTGTATAAAGAGGTCAATTAATCACTAAGATATTACAGAAATGAAATGGAGTTTAACGTCCTACTGTTCTGCTCCTAACCTGGGCTAATGAAGACAGGCATACGCCATACAGTGTGCTATGAGGGAAATTTTGCCCGGGCAGCGGTGCTACGGCCTACTCTTCTATCGAATTCCAACTGCCAAGGGATCTTTTACGTGTACGCCAATGTGTACATGGGACCTCAGTTTTTCGTCCGATCCGAACGACTAGACAGCTTTCCTTGTCAGCCCCTCCGTCCTGCATCACTGACAAGGGAGAACCACGCCGGAAAATCAGGATGAACTTTCTCGGCCAATGCAGGGATCGAACACCCGACCTCCAGGCTAGCGAGCTAGCGTCTTACCCACTTAGCCACGTGATCCCCTCAGATATTACAGACTACAACCTATTAATATTTTATTGTATCTAAACACCCCATTAGAGGCATCATACAAATACCAACAAAACATTAAATACATAATGAATATAAGGACAATGGCTAATCAAGAAACAATAAAATAAAACAGTGATAATACTAATAACTTGGCTCAGAATAAAGTAATTTGAATGTAATTTTGAGCATATTCATTTTGCACTATCTATTTCCAAACTATCATAGCTCTTTATCTAAATCTTACATAGTGTGTCTTTAAATGGAGTAAACATAGCTCTTTATCTAAATCTTACATAGTGTGTCTTTAAAATGGAGTAAACATAGCTCTTTATCTAAATCTTACATAGTGTGTCTTTAAAATGGAGTAAACATAGCTCTTTATCTAAATCTTACATAGTGTGTCTTTAAATGGAGTAAACATAGCTCTTTATCTAAATCTTACATAGTGTGTCTTTAAATGGAGTAAACATAGCTCTTTATCTAAATCTTACATAGTGTGTCTTTAAATGGAGTAAACATAGCTCTTTATCTAAATCTTACATAGTGTGTCTTTAAAATGGAGTAAACATAGCTCTTTATCTAAATCTTACATAGTGTGTCTTTAAATGGAGTAAACATAGCTCTTTATCTAAATCTTACATAGTGTGTCTTTAAATGGAGTAAACATAGCTCTTTATCTAAATCTTACATAGTGTGTCTTTAAATGGAGTAAACATAGCTCTTTATCTAAATCTTACATAGTGTGTCTTTAAATGGAGTAAACATAGCTCTTTATCTAAATCTTACATAGTGTGTCTTTAAATGGAGTAAACATAGCTCTTTATCTAAATCTTACATAGTGTGTCTTTAAAATGGAGTAAACATAGCTCTTTATCTAAATCTTACATAGTGTGTCTTTAAATGGAGTAAACATAGCTCTTTATCTAAATCTTACATAGTGTGTCTTTAAATGGAGTAAACATAGCTCTTTATCTAAATCTTACATAGTGTGTCTTTAAATGGAGTAAACATAGCTCTTTATCTAAATCTTACATAGTGTGTCTTTAAATGGAGTAAACATAGCTCTTTATCTAAATCTTACATAGTGTGTCTTTAAAATGGAGTAAACATAGCTCTTTATCTAAATCTTACATAGTGTGTCTTTAAATGGAGTAAACATAGCTCTTTATCTAAATCTTACATAGTGTGTCTTTAAATGGAGTAAACATAGCTCTTTATCTAAATCTTACATAGTGTGTCTTTAAATGGAGTAAACATAGCTCTTTATCTAAATCTTACATAGTGTGTCTTTAAATGGAGTAAACATAGCTCTTTATCTAAATCTTACATAGTGTGTCTTTAAATGGAGTAAACATAGCTCTTTATCTAAATCTTACATAGTGTGTCTTTAAAATGGAGTAAACATAGCTCTTTATCTAAATCTTACATAGTGTGTCTTTAAATGGAGTAAACATAGCTCTTTATCTAAATCTTACATAGTGTGTCTTTAAATGGAGTAAACATAGCTCTTTATCTAAATCTTACATAGTGTGTCTTTAAATGGAGTAAACATAGCTCTTTATCTAAATCTTACATAGTGTGTCTTTAAATGGAGTAAACATAGCTCTTTATCTAAATCTTACATAGTGTGTCTTTAAATGGAGTAAACATAGCTCTTTATCTAAATCTTACATAGTGTGTCTTTAAAATGGAGTAAACACAATCTAATTAAAATACAGATCTATATTTCATTTTGTTTTTTATACTTTCGATGGCCTACACTACATGTAGATCTAATAAGTTAAAGTGGGAGTTCACGTTCTATGACGTCAGGTACCAAGCAAGTGACATTTGACCCGATAATGTCAGTCATTCGATTAACCAATTAGCGACCGTCATGCTTTTTTTGTTTTGATTTCTATCGCTGGTAATGTCTACCCACAGTTCCGCGCAAAAAAGGTCAAACGCTCGATTCGACAGACCATTTGATTGGCTGACCCCTCATTGCAAGCAGAACACGAGTTAAATACCAAGTCTTCCAGATCCAAATGTAGTAAAGACAAGTAAAAACGAAATTTTGAACTATAAAAAACCAAACGAAATAGGATCTGTGTTTTAATCAGACAGCCCATCGAAAGTATAAAAAAAACGGAACGAAATATAGATCTGTGTTTTAATCAGATTGGTTTTGGGCGCCATTTTTCATGAAAAAAGAAAAACATATCCTACAAGACAATGCAGAAGTAGTGATGGCTGATTCACAGACGAAAAAATAATAACGTGTAGAATGAACTAAGCAGTTTGGACAGTTCACATATTTCCCCAAACATAAATAATTAGAAATTACAATATTTTTTTTTTTTTTTAATTTAATATAAATTGTTTTATATACATTCATATTACATTACACCCATTGTCGCCTATTTTACGGTTCCAAAGAACAGACCTATACCCTCATTAAATCATTCGGCTACTCCATTAACTCCCCAAATAATAAAAAATAAAACATGTCATTATTTATACATTTTAGACCCAGGCCTTAGATGGCCGAATGGTTAGCGCATGCTGGCTGTATCATAAGGTCTGTCATTGAGTCAATTGGCGTGGTTTCGATTCCCCGGTTGTATGTGACAAGGGTTAGGGTCGCCTGTCCAACCTTGTGGGTTTTCCCTGGGTCATCGGGTTTCCTCCCACTGCTAAAGACCCCTTGACACAAGCGAATTATTGAAATAAAATTGAACCATGTTAGTCCCGAAATGACCTAGCTTGTGTCAATCGGACATTAGACTCATTTTCATCTATTAAAGATACATTATGTAAGATTGAGATAAAGAGCTGACCATTCTTGCTACAATATTCAAAAACAGATAATGCAAAATAAATATATTGAAAATTTCATTCAAATTACTTTATTTTGAGCGCAGTTAGCAATGGTTGTAGTTTTGACAAGATGTGCACATTGATCGTAACCACCATACTTGTCATTCGAGAGTTAGCCCCGCTTCTCCATTTTTAAATTAAATCATTAAATGTCCAACCGTTCGGATCTACTTAAAAATTGGAGCCATCCGATGCCATCGAGAGTTGATTATGGTCTTGTCATGTTAATAAAAGTCTTATTAATAATTTAGATAACATTTAAGGCCTAAAGAAAGACCTGCAATAGGCAGATTTAGTTCTTACATACTGCCCGATTACGGTTCCAAGGAACAGAGCTATATATGGTGAGTTTTTTGAGGGGAGTGATTTTTTCAATTTGTTGATTGAGGGGAGCTTTTTTCGGCTCTCCTTTAAAATACAAACAAAGACTAAAGAATAGAGCCATACCCTCTTTAAACCATTCAGCCACACTCCCCAAATAATATAAATAGACTCGACAGACAAAATTATCACCATGTCCCGTATCTTGTCAACCTAACTGAACTAAAATGAGATCGACTCATCACACATTTGCACTAATAGCCAGGAGAATTGCACCCAATGGATCGAAATAACCACCTCACTGTACTAACTTGACCTATGAGCACTGAACAGAGATTTGTTATTGTTCGTTTTTAACAGTTTACTGTAAACCAGACAGAGAGAGAATTGGAGCTTAAGGTCCATTGACACAAACCAGGTCATTCCCCCCCCCCCACACTTCTCCCAACACCGAACTAACTATAAACAATCTCTCATTTACTTAGATGAGCTGAAATGAAATTGACTTCTTCGTCTCACCATATATCAATTTGAAAACAATTGGTTGATTGTATGTGAGAGTATAATAGCCAATAAATGTAAAGAGGGAGAGAGAGAAATGGTGTTTAATGTCCACTCAACACAAACTAGGTCATTTCAGGACTAACACATGGTTCAATTTTATTTCAATAATTCGTTTGCATGTAAGGGTCTTTAGCAGTGGGAGGAAACCGGAGGACCCGGAGAAAACCCACGAGGTTGGACAGGCGACCCTACTCCTTGTCACGTACAACCAGGGATTCGAAGCCACGCCAGTCGACTCAATGACAGACTTTATGATACAGCACGCGCACGCTAACCATTCTGCCATCCAACCCCCCTTAAAAAAAAAAAAAAAATCTTACCAAAGGTTTTAAAGAATTTACGTGGGTTTTCCAATTTGGATCATCAAAATGCAACACACAAACATTCTGAAAAGAAAAAAACATTGAAATAAATCACACAGTCATGTTCTGATTATCTGTTTCACCATCGGTAAAGCCGGTCGTACACGAGCAAATTTTCTTTGACAAATGGAGATTTGTCAAATAAATTTGCTTGTGTACGAGAGGATATTTGACACATTTTCATTTGCCATATGAGATTTGACAAAAGCTGGCATGCATAGCTTTTCGTCAAATAAATGTGTCAAAGATTTGGAACTTATGCTCGTGTACGATAGGCCGTCAAATAAATTTGCCACAAATCTGCGCACGCATCTAAATCTATTGATTTCACTTTCATTTTTCGACGCAGGGGCAAATTCATTTGCTGGCTTCGTACACGGTCAAAGAAAATTTGAAGAGACCGTCAAAGAAATTTGTTAAATTTTCTTTGATCGTGTACAACCAGCTTTTTTCGATAAGTGACCTATTAATAGTCATGTTCTGACAGGAGCCACAGTGGCTAGGTGGTTAAGACGCTGGCTCGCTAGCCTGGAGGTCGGGTGTTCGATCCCTGCATTGGCTGAGAAAGTTCTACCAGATTTTCCGGCGTGGTTCTCCCTTGTCAGTGGTGCCTTCGGATGACACGAAAAACCGAGATCCCGTGTATACATTGGAATGCACGTAAAAGATCCCTTCGCAGTTGGAATTCGATATAAGAGTAGGCGATAGTGCCGCTGCCCTGGCAAAATTTCCCTCATAGCACACTGTATGGCGTATGCCTGTCTTCATTAGCCCAGTATAGGAGCAGAACAGTAGGACGGTAAACCCCATTTCATTTCATTTCTGTTTCTCCACTGGTAATTAGTCGATAACCGGCCTATCAATAATCATGTTCAGATTATCCATTTTCCCACTGGTAATTGGTCGATAAGCGGCTTATCAATAGAAATTGCTATCAGTAACATTTTGCTTTTTTGTCAATATTGGAATCCCCAATATCTGTTCAAAATGACTCATTAAATAAATAAAATTGAAATAAATTCAGTAATATGTGGGGTTGGAGCGTGACAACGACATGCGAGGGGCGGCCATATACACATACATACACACTTTGATTTTATTTATATAAATAGAAAAACTTTTGCAGTTATTTACTTCTAAATGAGAGAGAGAGAGAGAAATGGGGTTTAAGGTCCACTTGACACAAACTAGGTCATTTCGGGACTAACATATGGTTTAATTTTATTTCAATAATTCATCTGCGCGTAGGGGTCTTTAGCAGTGAGAGGAAACCGGAGGACCCAGAGGTTTAGAAATGAAATTAGAAATGAAATGAAATGGCATTTTATGGCATGTCAGCTCCAACCGGGCTATATTGCGCTAAACATATCACAGAAAAATTATATGCATAAATAAAAACAATATCACAGAAGTAACTAAAATTAAATAAAGATAGGTTGCCAGGCAACAAAACATACGCCCACAGCAGCTAAATCGTCCGGGCAGTCAACAAGAGTTGTCGCATATTTTTACTTTTTTCGGTAATGAAACATTATACACTAAAATCTGATTAAGAGCAACAACTCAGAAAACCATTAGAATTTGTTTGGTTTTTATAAAGTTCTGCCCCATGCTAACGTTTTGTATACAAAACTTTTAATACTGTATCATGGATTTAGCTGTTCCAAGTCATAAAAATTCATTGAAAATCAATATACTTGTTCGTCTCAAGATCATAAAATCTGTGTATGAAAACGGAAGTCAATCGGATATTAACTTTGGCCTCTAGAGCGTCCACAAGGGCCATAACTTTGGCAGTAATTATCAGAAATCTTTGAAAATCAATAGGATTCTTCGCCTTGTGACCTCAAACACTGTTTATCATGGATTTAGCTGTTCAAGTCATAAAGATTCATTGAAAATCAATATACTTGTTCGTCTCAAGACCTTAAACACTGTGTATAAATTTAAAGTCAATCAGATATTAACTTTAGCCATAAGAGCATCCACAAGGTTTTTTGAAGTGATCAAGGGCCATAACTCTGGCAGTAATTATCGAAAATCACTGAAAATGAATAGACTTCTTCGTCTCATGACCTTAAACACTGTGTATAAATTTAAAGTCAATCGGATATTAACTTTAGACTCTAGAGCGTCCACAAGATTTTTCAAAGTGATCAAGGGCCATAACTCTGGCAGTAATTATCGAAAATCACTGAAAATGAATAGACTTCTTAGTCTCATGACCTTAAACACTGTGTATAAATTTAAAGTCAATCGGATATTAACTTTAGACTCTAGAGCGTCCACAAGATTTTTCAAAGTGATCAAGGGCCATAACTCTGGCAGTAATTATCGAAAATCACTGAAAATGAATAGACTTCTTCGTCTCATGACCTTAAACACTGTGTATAAATTTAAAGTCAATCGGATATTAACTTTAGACTCTAGAGCGTCCAAAAGATATTTTGAAGTGATCAAGGGCCATAACTCTGGCAGTAATTATCGGAAATCGCTGAAAATCAATAGGCTTCTACGTCTCATGGCCTTAAACACTGTATATAAATTTAAAGACGGACAGGGGCGACAACAATATACGACCACATTTCAATGTGGGCGTATAAAAATAAATCCTGTCTCTTTTAAAAATTCTAACACTTTATTAAATAAACCTGGCTGGGCAAACAGATTATGCAAAGTCTGGCAACGGTAGTATGTTTTTCTTATATCACTGAGATACTCGCACTCAATCAAAATGTGCTTAACTGTCAAAGGAACATGACAGTGTTCACATTCTGGTTAAGGCTCTGGCTTTAAAATGAAAATGTGAGTTAAAAAGTATGACAAATGCGAGAGAGAGAGAGAGAGAGAGAGAGAGGCAAAACAATTTCATCCCTCCTATTAATTCTATAGGAGTTGCACCAGTCGTCCCTGCAAGATCCCAAGACAGTTGCCAGCGGCCATATATAAAAGAATTAATAGGGAATTTAAATCGGTCATAAAGTCTGTCAGCAGCCTTGGGGCCCCATTGTGGTGAAGAATATGTGAAACTAGTTTGATTGACTTTTCCTGCATCCTACTCATAAATCCTTTTTCTCCTAGAAAATAAGTAAAAAAAATATGTAAAGTTTTCTATTTTCAATTCAGGCCAATCTGTCACTAACGGCATGTGAAATTGCAGATCTGTAGAGATCGAGCATGGGACCTTCAGGCTAGCGAGCTAATGTCTTACTCACTGAGCCACTGCGTATTGATAACTCTAATAATCTATCAATGTATTATTTCATCCATTCATATCTTGTTACTGTCTGTTATTCATAACTTGTTACTGTTTGTTATTTATTTTATGATATCACATATTTCATTCATTCATAACTTGTAATATATTTTATGATACCTGCAAATATTTTATTTCATTCATATCACTTTAAATCTTGTTACTATCTATTTTGTTAAAGATTCATTATGGGAGATTAGATGAATGTGGACGTATAAAAACTAGATAATGTAACGGTAATTTGCTGAAAACTATTCCTGATTTCCCTTCAAATTAAACTGATCCCCTCCCAAAAAAACTATTCCCGTTTTCCCTTAAAAATAAACTAATCCAAAAATACATGACTATTGTAAAATAAAACAAATACAAATGGAAGATACTACTATTACAGAAGGGTGGTTAAGACAATATATTATTTTCAATGGGGAAATACAAAGCAAATGTTTTATGTACATCTGACAGTATTTAATATAGTTACTAATTTATTCTAAATTATGCTGTCAACACAATTATTTCTTATAAAGATCGGTTGCCAAGCAATGAAACATATACCAACAGAAGTTAAGTCATCCCAGCAGTCCACAAGATTTGTCACATATACCATCCATTCAGCGTCTCGCAATTCAATATGCGAATCGTGAGAATGTATGGACATGTTAACAGTTGTATACAGAGTCAGTTAAAAGCTTGTTTAAATAAATGTGTTTTAAATTGTTTTTTAAAAGAATATAAAGATGTAAAACATCTTAAACTAAATGATAGATTATTCCCTAAAACAGGTGCTTGAAATCTAAAAGAGCGTTGACAATTAGAGACTAGTTGAACAGTTTTAGGCTTTAAAAGTAGTTTATCTGATGTACGTAATGTTTGGCCAGGTGTATAAATGTCTAAAATATCTAAGAGGTAAACAGGAGGTAAATTATTTAAACATACAATTCGATATTTAACAGGTAACCAACGTAAATAATAAAGATAGGTTGCCAGGCAACGAAACATACGCCCACAGCAGCTATATCGTCCGGGCAGTCAACATTAAAATCTGATTAAGAGTAACAACTCATTAAGTAATTATCAGAAAACCATTAGAATTTGTTCGGTTTTTATAAAGTTCTGCGCCATGCTAACGTTTAGCATACGAAACTTTTAACATCATGGATTTAGCTGTTCAAGTCATAAAGATTCATTGAAAATCAATATACTTGTTCGTCTCAAGACCTTAAACACTGTGTATAAATTTAAAGTCAATCGGATATTAACTTTACCCTCTAGAGAGTCCACAAGATTTTTTGAAGTGATCAAGGGCCATAACTCTGGCAGTAATTACCGGAAATCGCTGAAAATCAATAGGCTTCTTCATCTCATGACCTTAAACACTGTGTATAAATTTAAAGTCAATCGGATATTAACTTTAGCCTCAAGAGCGTCCACAAGATTTTTTGAAGTGATCAAGGGCCATAACTCTGGCAGTTATTATCGGAAAACGCTGAAAATCAATAGGCTTCTTCGTCTCATGGCCTTAAACACTGTATATAAATTTAAAGTCAATCGGATATTAACTTCAGCCTCTAGAGCATCCACAAGCAATTGTGGACGCCGGACGGACGGACGGGAATATACGACCACATTTCAATGTGGGCGTATAAAAAGCTGGAGTTATGTTGTTACATTTCTTTGTTAGTCCCAAATGACCTAGTTTGTGCTAAATTTCTCTATCTCTTGGGTCCTTAAAAAGTATCCTTGCACTCTTAGAATGCATAAAAGTTCACCA